TTGTGTATTAGGTAAATTATTATTATTGAAGGATTCATCATCTAATTCCATTGCTGAAGTTTCTTTTAATAGAGTTAGGGGACCAAGTTCTGAAGCCAAAAGATTAAATGTATGAAAGTCATAAAGAGATTGTTTAAGTTTTGCAAAAAATTCTGTATTTTTGGAGGATCCACGATGTGGATCTAAGATGCTTTCTACACAGGATTTGTGATATGGTTTATCATTATATAGTATAGTATCATTTGCTAACTGATGTCGATTATTAGTAACTTTGCAGTTAATAGGTTGGTTATAGAGTGGACAGATGTGTTGATATTGTGTTGGGATTGAAAAAGAGGTTGAAGAAGGAGGAATCAGTACTGTAGTGTCAGTAATTTTGAGAGCAAGTTCTTCTTTTCCTTTTTTACTAACAATTTAAATATTAGTAGTTTTTTTGTATATTTTATTCTCTTTTGAAATAAAGTGGGTATGGTATTTGTTGCATAGACATTTAACAATAAATGTGATTGCTAGGGCCTCAAAATAATGGCAGGTCTTGATTATCTTTCTAAGTTCTGTAGAAATATATTCGGTTGGTTTTTTGTTTGCCGGAATAGGTCTTGAGATGTTTGAAGAATCTTCATAAATTCTGATACCGAAACTGTTGTAGTATGTTTTATAAAAATAGTCAAGATCTACAGTATCAGGTTCTACGATAGTTAAGGTAGGCATTGTATCTATAAGTTTTCTTAAAAACTTAGTTGAGATTTCCTTAGTAAAATTTAAAGATATTATTAAGCTTAGATAATTGTTACAAGGGTATATATATTTATGAGGATATTTTTATAGCTACTGCGGCTTGTATAACCTTGTGTAACCTAGGAAGTCTAAGGTTGCACAAGTCACGTATTATACAAGTCATGTATTACACAAGTCATGTATTACACAAGTCATGTATTACACAAGTCACATATTACACAGATCATGTGTTATACAAGTTGCATAATGGGGTAAAGTTTAGATAATGTTGCTAAGTTAATTATAGAATAAATAATAAATGCAGTATAGTAATTAATTTGTGTAAATTAATTGTAAAATGGATTGCCTAAAAAAGGATTGATTATGTTTCTAGTGTGGTTAGGTGTAAACAAATCAGAAATACAGGTCCGAATGTTACACAAAAACGATTTTGATGGGGTAAACTAGGAAGGAACTTTTTAAAATCTAAAGAGTAAAAAAGAGAGTTTTAATATTTTTGATTCTAAAATGATCAATTTTAGGTCAAATGTGGTATACTATAGCTTGTTTTGAAGCCAGAGATGAGCTCTACAAATTCAATTATAAGGTATCAGTATATTATTAAGCCCAGTCTGCCAGAAAGGGCAAAACTTTGGGGGGAGAACAGAGTTTTGTCCGTCTGTTCTTGTAAATCGAATATCTCAAGAACGATGAGAGATACAGACTTGAAACTTTACAGATATATGTAAAAACATTAGCTGAACAAATGTTATTAAGAGTCAGAGGTTGTTAACTTAATAAAATTTTCTGTAAATTGAGAAAACATGAAAATTATTGTGACAAAATTTTGTGTACAAATGATAAGCAGAAAGAGTTTTATACATCATCTTTTATAATTTATTTATATAAAATAACTATATATATATATATAAATAAACTTATATAACCTTATTCACTTTCATTATCAACAATATCTGTCTTGAAATTAGATGACTTTCTAGTATTGTGAACTATTTTATGAACAGCCTGTTCTTTACCTTTTTTATTATTGCTTTTAAGCTTTTTTTTACTTTCACTATTTTTTTGATTCTCTACTTTATTATCTTTCTCAATATTATTCAAATCATTATCAATCTCATTATTTCTAACTCATTATTAACATCCAAACTATTTGTATTACTACCTGTCAACATGTCTTCATTAGCTTCATTTACTTCATCAATTTTGCTACGTTATAACAAATAAATACATTAAATTATAAACTAAGTATTTAAAATTAAATTAAACCAAATACAAACCTTAGATGTTTCTTCAGATTTTTTAGAAATATTTTGATGAATTAACAAAAGCTTAGAATAAGTTGACTTTGTTAATGATGGAATTTCTTTGTTACTGATCTCATATTCTTTTTTTTTAATATTAAATCATGTATCTACCCAATTGATATCTTGTGCATAAATGTACATTACATTATTTATAAACTCTAACTGACCAACAACAAAAACCACTGTTTCCTTTGGATGAATATGACTTGTTAATCCTCTAAAGCGTGATTCTAAATATTGAAATACAATAATAACAGTAAAAATATAATCCTTACGAGAATAATCTTTTACTGAAACTTTAATAATTGCATTTTCTCCATGTTTAAAATCAGATGACTCTTCAACAATTCCAACTAATGAAGCTTTTAAAGGACACTTATTTGATCCAGCAACTTTACTCATAATTTTAAGATGTGTAAAAGTGGATACTGTCATCTAAAAAAATAATTAAATAACTTAGTACAACAAGAACTATTTTAATCTTATGATAAATCTTATAAATTGAATACTACCAAAAAAAACCTCAGATTTTGAATTCATTATTTATTATTTATATCTTTAACCTAATGCTATATCTCACTGATTAAATTTTCAGTAACTAAATCTAGTAAATAATAGATAATAAATTCAAAACCCAATCTAATCCTTTCTAGCAACAATCAAACAAATGTAAATTTATATCTAAATATACTTTTTTTTTAAAGATATTATAATATTAAATTATATATTTTATGATAATTAATAAATAAAATTGCTTACCCTTGGTCTTACTGTATCTTTATAATTATCAAGTATGATTTTGCCTCTAACTGAAAAGTATTCATCTTTTTGAAAAATTGCTTGTATTTCATGGTCTCTTTCTTCCAAATCAACAGGCACAAATAAAGTTAATTCTATCTCTTTATCTTCATCCCCAACAGGATAACAACCAATAGCCCATACAGTTAACCGATCATCTTTTTCAGTTTCTCTAACAACTTTAATTTTCACGATTGTATCTATATTACAAGGCATGACTAAAAAAATTTTTTTGTGAAAAAGTAAAAAAAAAATTATTTTAAATAATTTATATACATTTTTTAACGTATTAAATATTAGCTCACATGTTAGTGGCTTATATAAAAACACATAAAAAACTTATTTTTCCGCTCCAAATACATTATGTAGATACATATGTATCTATCATTAAACCACTTCATTCGAAGCCACATCCTTATAATAAGGTGCAATTGGGGGATAACGGTGCCAAATAATCCTTTTTCATATTAATACTGTTGATTATATTGGTAACGGGGTGGCATTTTTGCTTTACGATGCACTTACGTAATATTCATATAAATGTATACAGTAAAGACTTGTATATTTGTATACCTTTATTCTATTTTTTCTCACAATTTTTATTTTACGTAACAAGTAAAGATTCTATGGCAATACCTGTAAATCTTGTTAATGATCATCATGACAAGTTTTTTTATATATGTTATACATTAGGGTGATCATTCACGATTATTTTAGTAACTACGCTCCACTAATAATTTAGTATTTTTTCATATATGTTAGTTAATCATAATGACTCAGTGTGTGCTCGCATATAGTATATATCAAACTAACTAATTACTATATTAATAACCCCAGACTATACCCATCCTTAAATAATTTCTCATTCCTGATTTTGCATGATAGCATCGCACAGCTACCTTATATGAAAATTTTAGATTATTCAAATGTTTGAAATTTATAACTATATGTAGTTTATAATTTTGGCTAAACTATCTTGCAATAATCACATGCACACATATGCTAAATTATACTATAAATCTTTTTGGTTTTTTTTTAGTCTTTTATCGAAATTTTGAAATATTCATTTTAGTTTTTACTAGATTTTTATGAAGCAGATGAACTGATAATTAGTATTAATCATTAAAACTAGAACTAAGATTTATAAAATAAATTATTAAAAATCTATGACAAGTAAACTTTTATTTAATTTGTTGAATTTTATTTGATTAATAGTTAGAATTTCACACTTTGTACTTCTGGTAGCATAGTTAAATAAGGTTTAAAAATCTAAAAAATTATAAACCTAAAAAATTTTTATATACAAAAATCTGATAAATATCCTAGTATAATTTAATACTATTTTTTGTATATTATTAATAAAGTTGTTAAGAAAAAATATTTTTAACTGCTATTTTTAATAAATTTTAGTATACTACCAGGGATCTCTTGCAATATAGGTGATATATTCTAAATTACTAATTAATAATATATTTTATTAATGGTTTTATCTATACTACAAGAGATTCTACTACTAATGTTAATTTAAAGTTAGCATTAATGTTAATATTAACTTTAATGTTAGTATATACTATTTTTTTTTTTTTAATCTTTGGCAACCTTGCTGGTGATCCTTTATTAAGATTATTATATAAGTAGATTACATAATGTTGAGCTTAATATCTAGGCCTGACATCCCTGGCTACCTCATGGGTGCCCAAAAGCGGTCTGCTGCACTAATTTGAAATTTGGTTCATAATCAGAATGCTAATACCAGGTTAGCTGTACAAACCATATCAAAAAGGTTTGCAACTATTTTGTATTAATTTTCTAAAACTATTAAACTATCTATTTTCTATTCATTTTATAC